TTATATCGTCACTCAGGGACCTATGGAGAACACGGTGACCGAATTCTGGCGAATGGTCTGGCAAGAGCAAGCTTCCTGCATCGTTATGCTCACGAAAACCTTTGACTTTATCAGGGTAAAAAGCCATTTACAGCGAAACTTTCGTAAAAAAGAGAAACATAACACAGTGCTCGGAAATAGTGTCCATTAAAGTTGCCACGCCGCAAAAAGCAGTCTTTATCGTGCACGATGACGTTGACTGCGAGTCAGCTTTAAGAGAGCTTAGAGTCTGTTTTATGAATTCTTTACATCCTACAGCTTTTCAGCCACAACTTTGTCTTACAGGTGATGTGTGTACAGTACTGGCCGGCGAATAAAGAAAAAGACGAGGAATATGGAGGTATCGGCGTTTCTGTATTAAAAGAAGAGGAACTCGCTAATTTTCATATAAGGACGATAAGGCTGTACAAAAAGAACGATAACAACGTAAGTGTAATTGCTATTTACATAGAAACTTTGTATCTTTCTCGCAATATAAATTTAAATGTGACACGTAAAAAACAGTAGAGCAAATATTATTCTTTAAAAGAAAAATATCGCCTGTATCTCAGATTAATAACCTTCTCGACGTGCGTAGCAAATGAATAACGCGTGTAGAACAATTAAATTCAATATTTGTGAGAAAGCGCAAATATTCGCGTTGATCAATTGACAATTCAGTAACTCGATTCGTATAAGTTGAATTTGTATAAGTTGAAAAATTTGCGATGTCATTTATCACTGGTAACAGAATGACGTAAATCCACCGCGACATTGTTCGAATATTCGTATATATATTAAGATTGGAATAAATCAGAAGAGTTTGCGACGGGCGTCACATCAACGAGAATTATCCGGATGATCCTTGAATGGACCAATTCTTCTTCTTTTTAACGGGGAAATTTCTATGAAACAATCACGAGAAACTCGAGTGATTGTGTGTAATTGGATAATACAGTAGTTGGCTCAAATTGGCCGGTAACGTAGTCGATGCCAACTCGAAACCTTGTCTCAGCCTAGAAATGAATGGAACAAGAAATGGAGAGCAAAGTTAGCGAGAAAGTTAGCTAAATTAACCGTATATAGATCGCATCACTTTCGTCATTTAGACCCTGCCCGAATGCGAAATGTGATACGAATCCGCGATATGAATGAGAATAAGTTTGCTCGAGCAGCTATTACGCGAGCGGCTAATTTAATTGCACTTTTATCTACGAGAACGACAATTGCAAGGACTCTCTAAAGCTCTTCCGAGTCGCACGCTTTGTGATCCGATTCCACCACTGGCATCGTTACTTACCTAGTCCTTTTCTCGTTCAACTTTTTTCCGTTATCTAGAGAGTCCTCTCAGGTTTTAAAGCTGTTCCTTCGCATTAATGTCTCCGTCTGCTTTTCGAAATATATTCTTTTTCACTGTACATTGACCAAGAAAGAGATGTTTATTCTTCCACGTGTATTCTTTTCTAACGAAAGATTTTATTTTCGTATGTATAATATAATAGTCTATCTTCTTTGCACCGATTGTATATTTTAAAAAGATATTAAATAAATAAATAATAATAAAGGCAATGTGTCGATTAAGTTAAAAGTTTTAGTTTTGTTTTGTGGTACGAAAAATTCAACATATTAATACAAAAATTCATAAAAATATATCTTTTATGAGTAAAAAATTAAAAACGTTTGAATAAAAGTTTTCTTTAAAAAAATTTCTAAATACGCCTTATTTTTTCAACTTCTATAAAATTCCTATTTAATGTCTATCTATATTTTCTTAAGATATTGGTAAGTTTTTATCACACAAATACCAATAACATATTGATCGATTCTCAAGAATATCATAGGAAAATTATAAACCCTTTATTCACAATGTATCATTGCTAAAAAAAGTAACTTACATATTTCAACAAATCTCGTCGTGAAACAAGTACCGACACGTGAAACTAATAAATTTAGTCTCTCGTTTGTATTGCGATCAGCACTCTTCGATGTAAGATTGTTAATTAACGAACCGTATGAAACTATCGAGTATGCTTCTCTATTGAACAGTAGACGCAACAAAGTAATTACTTTCAAAATTTACTAGCTGAGTGAAATTTAATATAGAAGAAGAGAACCTCATAACCCCATTCCGGGAATAGCAAAGCAAGCTGAGAGGTTACAAAACGCCCCGATGTGCAACACGGGCCGGGCAGCGCAAGATGCGACTGCAATTGTCGAGTTTAACGCGGCATTGTTGGAATAACAATACCGTAGGAGAATCTCACCCCCGGAAAATAATCTGCCAGTAACGCAAGTTGCACTCCGCGACCGCGCGTCGCTAATTTGTTAGACAGCGATTTTCTGCATTTCAGCAACGCGATCATAAATCTTGAAGCATTTAATCTCACGTACGTGTTCCGAACGATTCGGTGAGAAAAATAGAGAATGACAATGAAATACAAAGTGTAGGAAACGAATGAGAGACGAAAATGATTGTTATCGTGAAAGATGATTGTTGTAACTCTGTATGCGAAAACGTTTTCAGGAGATTACGGAAGAAAGGACGTTGTTGCAATTTCATTACACAGAATGGCACTCACACACGTGTCCCTTCGGAAACGCGGTACTGGAATTTAGACGGCGTGTTCGAGCCGTGGTGGGATCAACCATAAAGAACGAATCCGGCCCTATGGTCGTCCACTGCAAGTAAGGACACTTGTGTTACAAGTTGATTATTTATGTAAAAGCGAGCAACGAGCCACTCTCGCGCTAATGAGATAATAAATTTGTTTGTTTGTGACACAAAGCGATGGTGGCGGACGATCGGGAGTATATCTAGCGATCGATGCCAACATGGAGCTAGCTGAAGAGGAAGATGCGTTCGACGTGTTTGGCTACTTGAAGAAGTTAAGGCAGAGCAGGAGAGGGCTCATAGAAAATTTGGTAGAATAACAATTAAATATAAACATATATTCAAGTAATAATATAAAGGCTATGCGTCAATTAAGTTAAAAGTTTTGATTTATATAAAGAATTCTAATTTCTATATTTAAGTTCTTGTTTCTTGAAAAAGACTTGCTCCTATTTTCAACGAATCATTTTCATAATTTATTCTCAAATAAATTGTCCTTTTTTCTGACATTCTTTTTAAAATGTGTTATTAATGCTATAATTTGGCAACTTTAATATCTTATATTTCGATACATGTGTTCATTCAAATATGATAGGAACAGTACAAATTCGTATACGACACGCTCGAGGAATTCGTCGTATGCGGTACGTCGTGGTTCCCCGTAGCTGAATTATCCCAACGTCTGAAGCAGAAGAGTATAAAGAATCCGATAACTAAGATGAACGAATACCAACGAGAGTATCAGCAAATTTGCAAGCAGACGCCGCGTTTCACGATTGGCGATTGCGCCGGTGGACACAGGGCTGACAACAGGGAAAAGAATAGAGACGTCCTGGTAGTTCCACGTGAGTTTCAACTCGAACGACCGGCAACTTCGACAAATAGCTTTTCCACGCTGTACAAATCAATCTTCTCCTTTGTTACAGCGGACAACTTTCGACCGTACCTCACCAGCTTTCAGGGCAACAGTTTCACAGACTACATCAACGCTGTCTTTGTGGATGTAAGTCAGTAAAATAAATCACTTCGCTTTAACTGGTTTATCTTTACCTTCTCTTATATCGCTATGAAATCTGCATTTCTAATTTAGATATAAACTTTTAACGAAATTTGTATAAAGTGCACCACGCTGATAATTAAAACTAAAATTAATTGTTTTAGCATTTATATAAATGCACTGACACAAATTTCTTTTAAAGTTCAATTTACGTTTATATTAAAAACGATGATAAAAAAAAGTATCGAATTTATAAATATCGAAAATATAAAAAGCTTTGCGGATTGAAGTATATATCGCATTTCCCGAGATACATTCCCGCAATCGTTGCCAAGTTTTGCGTTCTTCCAAAGAACATTCATTCACTGTCATACCACGCAGGGTTACACGAAACCGAGAGAATATATCGTAACGGAATGGCCCCTTCGACACACGTGCGGTGAATTCTGGTCTTTAGTTTACGACTATGAATGTGCCGCGGTAGTAGTTCTCTGCGTGCCACCTCAGGGATCCACGAATTTTCCCAGTTTTTGGCCTGAAGGAAGACACTCCAAGAAATATGGACCCGTGTTTACGATTGATCACATCAGCCACAACCATTACACCAATATAAAGACCTGGGTGAGAACTGATTCTCTAATCGTCATAAAATAAAGTTTTCAATTTTTAGGTTTTATTTGAATCTTCACAAAAAAATCTACATATGTATTAAAAAATGTACGATGATAATATTTTACTTATTTTATCTGTATGAATTATTTCTCAGGTTTTTAGGATAAATAAGAAAATCGTCTCGTTGACGGAATTGATGGCGGGGGTGAAAGCACCACCGAAGACCGTGCAACTGTTTCAATTAACTTGTTGGCCAATGGGTCACAAAGTGCCCACGTCCACAAATAGTTTAGTAGAGCTCATGAATATGGTTGAAAGATGGAGACAACGAACAGACTACGGACCAGTAGCTGTGGTTTCGCCCGATGGAAGAAGTCGTTGTGGCGTCTACTGTGCGGCCAACGCGTGTATAGAACAGGTCATTCAACATGGAGAAGTTGACATTTTCCAAGCCGTAAAAACTGTACGCAGACACAGACCCCAGCTTGTGGAAAACATGGTATATAATTATAACGTTACAATGCAGTATTCTCTAAATTTCTTACGCGTTTCTCGAATTATAATATTGTTTGTATATTATAACATGTTTTTTTTTTATTAAAAATACTTTGATTTTGTGTCTTATATAAAAATATAAGACACAAGCATATGGAGAAACATGTGTAACATTCTTTTCCAGACGGAGTACAAGTACTGTTATGACTTGGTTCTACACTATGTATTGCACTATTTAAATAAAGACATGAATGAAAAGAAGTGAGAATGCGAGTTGAGGGACGAGCTGTGGTTCATTGAATTCGGTCGCGGAGCAGCGCTGCCGTTGACCCCGGAAGAGGCACCGGCGGACGGGGAACCGGTGGTGCCTTGTGCCCAAGGTCGCATCATCGTGGAGACTGCGAGGCCGGCGCCGCCACATTTTGCTACTTGCTCCGGCTATCGCAGGCCGCTTCTCAGCCGCACTTCGAACGAAGTATCGATTAGCGATGGAACGGCACCGTCGTCGAGTGGCACGGAGCAGAGTCAGCAAGAGCAGCAACAACAACAGTCACAGCAGATCATTGGCGGTAAAGGCGCCGTCAGCAAGGGTACAGGGACGCCGCAGAGTCCTGCCTCGAGGCCGGATGATCTCAGCGTGACACCCTGGTATCTGGAGGATTATCCGACGACCGATACCTCACCGGGACCGATGGGCGATCGGAGCTCGTATCCCTCGTGCTCGTATACCGATGGTAGGGATAGCAAACCGGATCTGAACTCGACGAGGAATAGCAGCATCGACAGTGAATTCCCGAGGCCGATAGTATCGATACCGCGGAAGGCTTGTATGGATCTAATGACTGCGATGGCATTGTTGGATGAGACCTGCCCGAACGTGGAACCCAGTCCATCTCTCACCCCGAGAACGCCCAGAACACCGCTGACACCGTATGCGACGCGGAGCAAACGGGCCCGTTCTAAGAGCAGTGACAATTCGTCGAATTACAGCAACGATCGGCTGAGTGATCGCTCGTTCGAGGTCACCAAAGACAAGGAAAAGAAAAGGCCGTTCCTAAGGAAGATAGGCATTTCGAAAACTGAGGACCGACCATTCCTGGCAAAGCTGACACCGAGGATTCTTGGCAAGCCCTATCTGGAAAAGATCGGACCCAGCAAAGCCATCGAGAGACCGTTCCTCGACAAGATCGGCTCGTCCAAAACTTTAGACAAATTCATCTTCGACACGCCGCGTAACGAACGCAAAAACGAATTTAGGACGAGGATGAACGACGCGATGAAGAATCACGACGGAATAAAAAATAACATCAGGCACGACATCGAGCAGATTGCCATCAAAGAAGATGCTGAAAACGCAATCGAAACACCAGAGGTAACGCCTGTTACTTCCCGTTTAGAAGAAGTACAACACAAATCTTTAAGTATTGCAGAGACTCCACAAACGGCGACAACAACCTTCGAAAGAAGACGATCGGGTAAAGAGTTCCTGCTGAAGATGTACTCTTTCGAGACGGAAGATCTAGAGTCCACTGTACCATCGAAGGAACGAAACACGTTGCACAATACGTCTTTAGACGATGTGTTGGATTCAGGGCCGAGCTCGTTGCCGACGGATAACAGCGACGAGCGAACGGAGTCACGGCTAGAATTGGAGAAGCGACCGACCAGCGTGACCGCCGAGTTATTGAAGTGCCGAGTGACCACAAGCGAGGAGATAATATCCTCCTCTACCACGTGTTTGAATTCGCCGAGTGAAACTAACAGCTGGAACAACTCGCCGCAACGTGGAAGAGCGCAACGCATGAAGAAGGAATCAGCCACTATGATTCGCCGTAGAATCTTTCAGGGTTCTCACGAGATCATTCGTAGCGACGACAGCACGCCAAACTCACCCACGAAGAGGCCTATTTCGAGCGTCTCCCCTGATCGTGAGATCGAGTTGAGGAGTAGCACTCTGGAAAGAGGAACTCTTTCCCCGACGAAAACAAGGAAATCGATCATTGAGGACATCAGGACGGTCGAGAATACGCGTAGGTCAATCAAGTACAATCAGTTTGAAAGACGAGGCATCTCCTCGGACAATCTCCTGGCGAAAGACGCTCTTTCATTCGTCACTGCCGCTCGTACTATGACCGATAACATCGGGAGAACACGGGAGATCTCGTCAGAAGATTCGCTGGCGACTCATCGAGAGTACACAAGGGAGACATTCAAACAATTACAAGACAAATTTAAGATGCAGGAAATACCTATGGAGAGTTACGCGGCTTTTAAACGGCGCACTCAAGCCGCTCCGGGAGCAATAAGTCGACAAGAAAGACTGAACCTTTTACCAGGGGACCTTGACGTAATCATAAAGAGCACACCTAAGAAGGAAAATGTTGCATCGACTGACACAATTGTAAGCGAAACTGCCATGAATAAGCGAGATCAGAGTCAAGAAGGTACGGTAAGGTCCATTCTGAGAAAGCAGGAAGGAATCGATCATCCCGATCAGGAATCAGACACAAACGCATCCATCAGACGACCGAAGAGGCGGATCTTTCATGAACCGTCGCAGGAGACTATGGATCTGCTGACGGAATTGCGCAAGGTGAAAAGCCTGTTAAAGACCCCATCCTGGGAAAAGGATCTAGATCTCGATCAGAAACCAGTGCGGATGCCGAAGCGTATTTTGCTAACAGACAAAGAATTTTGTCTCTCTGTAGAGCGGGAGAACAGCGTGCGACGTCCGTCGAGGATGATTAATTCGCTGGAGACTACAGAAGAGGGTAAAATTACATCAAATCGGGAAAATAAAGAGAACAAGGAGAGCAAAACCGAAAATCAGAAATCCGGACCAGCTCTGTTTGAGAAGAAGTGTCTGTCATTGGACTACGCCGACGAAGAGAAGCCTCAGAAGCCGGAAGTCAGAACGATCTCTTTGGCCTCTACGAGGGATTTGCCGTCCGAAACCGAGGAGACCGACGATTATCCCGACATGACGTTTATTTGCGACTCCAAGAGCTGCTCCTCGAGCGTCTTCAACTCTCCGTCCGAGGAGACGAATAAGAAAGATCTGGTCGACGAGCCAGTGGAAAAAGAACAACCGAAAAAGCCTAGTCAGAATCATTGCGCCGAGGTAGATATCGCCATTCCCATCGATCAAAAGATCAACAGTCCCAAAGGAGATGTTCAAGGGCGGACTAGCGATCTCTACGAGATTATATCGCCCCGGTCGACGCCGTTCCGCGTTAAGAAGCGACTCGGCAAAATCTCCGTCGAAGAGACCGTCAAGCCGGAGAATTTCACCCTTGGTTCTAAGGTTGACTGCCGATCGGTCGTTGCTCAGAAACGAACCAAGTGCTTCCCTTTATAACGCACGTCGATCTGCCCGTGGGCGAGATTCTCTGTGGCACTGGGTCGTGTTCGTACCGTAAGAAGACATGCAGATAAAGTTGCATTTCGCCTTAATCCTTTCGATACCGTGTTAAACACAAGCGCGTTGTGCCAAGTACGTCATTTCTAATATCTTATTTAAACAAAAATAAAAAGAACCAATTATCGCGTATTAAGGCTCTTAATTATTCGTTGTCTTTATTTAATATTTGTTTTAATATCTCAAGAGCCCAACTCTGATTATTCCCTTTTTTAAAGAAAAATAATTTGAACTCTGGTGAAATACTGTAAATGCTAAAAATGTTAAATGTTCTGCAATTTTTATTATTCACGTTGTTATTAATATTCTTATGATTCTATATAAAAGATATATACATCTATTTTACATCTTTTATCTATCTTCCTAGGAAAAAAAAATCATTTCATACATACACACATAATTGTAATACGATTTTAAAAAATTTTACAGAGTTGAGTAAATTGTCTTAGCCGAACACATTTTATAATTATACATTGATAAGAAAGATAAAAAGAAAATTATTCGTTAAACTATTATATAGAAAAATATTACTGTACAAAACCTAGGTGCTGAAAGGATTAAATCTATTGAATGATTCATAATAGTTACGTCTTCATTCGGTACGAACATTCTTTTTTGAGTTGCTTCTAAGATCAAACAAATTAATAGTTAAAATTTCGTCAATAACTCGCCTAGTAGAAAAACTTCTCAATGAATTTGCGTAATTCGAAAGCAGATATTTTTCTGATATGATGCTCGTCTTAAGATGACTTTGTATACTATCGCTATTAGTTCTTAATTAGTCGAAATTAATGCATATGAACGGCAGAGTAAAAATTTCTAGTTCTACTTTGTATAAGCGAATATAATGATGGCATCTGTTAAATACGGCTTTCTAGCTTTCAAATTATCCCTGTTGCATTTTTGCAGTTTTTTTTTCGGGCAGTGCTGTTGGATACAGTGAATACACAGAGAATATGGTAACCAGTAAAGTGCGGAAATAAAAAAATTTGAAATGCATGGGGATAACAGATGCCACATTTCATTTCGCTCTATTGCATAATATAAAAATATTACTAATCTTCTATCGGTAAAATAAATTGACATCCTCTCGAAAGTATAACGAAATTCGATTTTGCTACTGTTGGGAGACGAAAAAAAAAGATTAAACATTAAATATGGAAAATGTGTGATCTAGAAAAAAAATAACAGCTTTATGAAGAGGATCTGTCCAGTTTAGAGCCTAATTCCGGAGTTTTCGACAGAACGAAATCCGAGATGTGCGAGAGCTCCTATCGAAATATTCTAAAGTGCACCCCCATTTTTTACTCGACGTTTTCGAGGAAGAAGATGGCCCAAAATGGAAACGAAAGCTCGATGTGGCTGTAAAAACTTTTTACTCGACGCGCGAGGACGAGGGATTCGGCGAAAAACCCTTCTGTCGAGCAGAGAGTGCCTTGTTCATGTGGATATATATTGTATTTAAACAAAGAGAGAATAAACATGCGCAAAAAAAGTCCTCATCGACGATTCAATTCCGACTGCGCGCCGGATTTTCTGAATGGGTCCACGGAATCGCGCTCTCTCGTCAAATGACATCGCAATTCTCTCCTCTCATTCTTTCTGAAGAAGATTCTTGCGATATTGCGAGCCAGAATCAATCACGGTTCTCAGATTCTGAAATTCTCACTTGCTTGATTTTTGCAGCAAATTTCTACATATAACTTCTAATGAAGCGTCGTACCTATGATAACTCACTTTTAAAAATCATTGATAAAATTTTATTAAAAAGAAAAGTTTAAGGGAACTATTGGAGTTTGGAAGAATATTGCGAACTCAAGAGAGTGCGATTCCCACGCAGATGCGTGCGCCTGCCAAGCTTGCTCTTCGTTCGGCGCGGCACTTAACGTTTTAACGGCATAAAACTTATATATGTATAATTAATACAGATTTAACCGCGTTCCTCTTATATAATTTTTTAGAGATAGGTAGGATCGAGAGAGACAACGCACTAAAATTGATTATGCGGAAAGTACATTTAAATGTAGATAGACGTATATGTATATAAATATTATACAGTATACACATAAAGTATGTATCGGTATTTTGACGAGACGTTTGCGCGAAACAGAATTAATAATGTCGGTGTGGATGCACTCTTACCTCATAAGTTAGTACTTTCTAAAGCTTAATACTCTGTCTCTCTCTCTCTCTCTCTCTCTCTCTTTTTAATGTATGTTAATAACTGATAATGTTGGTACTTTCATAAATTTGTCAGAGCGCAATTACGAAGCACGCTCTTACGTTTTAGTCGGATACAAGCCCTGAGCTCTCTTAAGTAACGAGAATTAAATGCGTTTTATTTGAAAATATTAAACGTTCTCGAAGTCCAAGTCCTTCGTACATTACGTCCGCACTATAAAAACGCGAAGATGCCTGAGACGAACCTAAATGCATCTGGACCGACCGTCATACACGTATGTATTCGACAAAAATTAGAAATTAATACACAAACTGATATATACGTATATAAATATATAAATACATTTATATATTTATATATTTATATATGAATACACATACTTGGCCAGGTATAATTGCACGGATCTAATAGCTGGTGAGATGTGCCAAAGAAAAATTTATTATATATTAGAGAAGAGGTTACTTTTATATATACATGTTGTATATATTACCTATCTGTGTGTGCACGCGCAAAAATGCGCGTCTGTGTGTGGATGTATGAAATGTGCGCGCGTCTCTCTGTGCAGTTGCATTCATTTATATGTACATAAATGTACACGCGCGTACGAAATAAATATATGCATATATGGTTAGGAATTTACATGCACTGTATGTGCATACGACCGGAATATGGCACGAGGATGCACACGTATCTGGAACAAACGTGTGCGTTGAGGAAGATCACGATCCGCTATTTTCTCCGTGGTACCGTGTGCGCACTTAATTTAATTAATTCAAAATGAACGGGCCTGCTATAGTATCCTTATCGCAATCTCATTTCCCATACTAGTACATTTAAGTGTCTCGCACGATTAATGTTTTAATCATTAAATGCAGTGTTGGAACAGATACCGTTTAAAAGATATCTAGTTATAGGTATAAGTATTGTGTGGAAAAAGTATTTAGACATAAGTACAGATACATTTTTTATAATTACCTAAGTATAAATACCGATACAAGAAAAAATTAAGTACTTTTTAGGTACTTAAAAAAAGGGAAGAAAAGAAAAATAGAGAAGAACGAAAAAATGGAAAAAAAAGAAAAGAAAAAGATATAAGCAGCGTAAAATATACTACATTTTATTTGTTTGTTTTAATACATAAAAGAATGTCTCGATGATGAAAAATCGAAAACAACAAGCTGCGTATAGACTCTAATTTTATTTTATATAAATCTATTATTTACATATGTAGGTACTAAAATGTTTGGATTTGGATAATGAAAATTGTAATCGTACGTACGTCATCGCGATGGATTATCGATAGAAATAGCGTGGCAAACTGGTCACGTGACGTTGTCTCCTCAGGAGGTCACTCATGTAATTTTTCCTCTAAAGTGGAAACGTAAAAGATTAAAATTTTTTTATCTGCACATATGCATACATAAAATTTTTCACTTTTTTCGACTCCGCCCTAAGAAAATAATTACTCCGATTGATCCCAAGCACCAAAGCTTTATAGAGTTTATTATGGATGTAGAAAAAAATCGCAATTCGTAATGTTACAAATTGTTCTTCTTCTCTAACTTGTGTATTCCTACATCCATAATAGACTCTACAGAGCTTTAGTGCTCGGAATTAATCAAAGAAGACCGGCGTCATGTCATCAGTTTGCTATTCTTTTTCTATGAGGTTTGTTAGTCGCCAATCACTAAATACTAGGAACTAAAATTATCTAGGCGTCCAGAAAAAGAAGTTTTATAAAATTATATAATTTTATATTAGTTATATAATGTGTAAAATTAAATATAATTACATATAGAATATGTTCAAATATTTAGTTCAAATATATAGGATGGCCCTGATCTACGAGATCACTTCTCGTGAGTAGGTAGAGCGGACTGAACTGAGTTGGATAGTCTTTTACCACATTTGACAATTTTTGCTAATACTTTAGGAGATATTAATTTCTAAATATATTAAATAAGCACGTATCGGCGCGAACTACCACCAAGTATACGCCCATCGCGGTCGCTTGTAAATGGTAAAGGACTTTTTGATTCAGTTCAGTTCGCTGTACCACCTCGTGAGAGGCGATCCCGTAGGTCAGGGATACCCTGTATATAATTATATATAATTTTATATAACTAATATAAAATTACATAATTTTGTAAAACTTTTTTTCTCCCAGGCGGTGAAGCAAATGATAGCACTTGTACAAAGTTAAGAATTAGAGAAGAAAGACGATTTACAGTAATAAAAAATTAAGTTTCCAATATGAGACATAAAATAAAATGTATAAGTACCTTGTACTTATTTATCTAAAAACTTAAAAGATACCGTACCAAAAAATAACTAGATACGGATACAGGTATCTCCGCCCGTAAGGATCTAGGTAATGCACTTAGGTGCAACTAAAGTATCTAGATACTGTATCTAGATACTTTTATCTAGATACGTTCCAACACTGATTAAATGCAATTCCCTACCTACATTGCAAATATAACGGCGTCATCGTGCGAGGTGAGAAAAAATTATAAATTGCATAAACACACATCTCTTTTTCAATTCATGAATATAATTATATATAATATAATATAATTATTATTTTTTAATATAATTATTTTTTTTATTCTACAAATAGCGTAAATACTTGAACAAATTGCGATAGAAAAAAATGCTCTCCCATATTTGTAAAATTTATCATAAAATTCATCTTCCCAAATAACGTACGCGCGCGCGCGCGTATGTTACATAAGATTTCTAAAAGATATGTTTTAGATATTTTATGCAATAATATGCATTATCACACAATTCTGGTGACCTTAATTCTGCCAAGTTTATTCGCAATAAAAAGGATTGCAAGTATTTAACTGCCCATTTCTACTCGAGTCAATAGCCGAGCTAAACGGCTCGTGATCCTCCTTAATCGTGTAGACCGCAATAGTGTACATAATATTTTCGGCCAGTGCAATACCAGATACATGGTGAGACAGGGTTCGCTTTGTAATCGGAGGGCAAAACTCGTCCACTCTCATTTTAAACTTGATAGAGGAATTCACCCCTAAACGCCGCGACAGCTATCCGTCCACCCTTTCGGCTGTCCACGCAAAAAGTGAATGAAAAAAAAAACACGCGCACCGACAACGTGACGATAAATGAGAAGGAGCGCGCGATTATATTGTAATATTAATGTTACAACTTTTGTTCTCGCGGGCGAGATTTAGCGTTCAAACTCGAACACGGCGTTTATTAGTTGCTGTTATTGATCGTTAGAAGCGCACTCCAGCAAGAGGATTGCCCCTCTTGGATAACCTTTCCTCGAGGTACACGGAAAGAAAAGTTTTGTCGAAGTATTGAAAAATTTAGCTTAATATTGATTTGAAAATAATTTTCTTTGAACATCAAAATAATTATCCCGAGTAACAATTTATTGGCGATACATTTGATTAAACGTTGAGGATATATTGGGCCAATATCGAGTCAATAAATTATGCTACTAGGGATGTAAAACGTTCAAATTATAGTTGCTAGAATATTAAAACTTTTTACAGCATTGTCATCAACGCTTAAGCGTTTTATATAGATATTTTGATAATTCTACGAAATTATTTTTAGACCTATACGTAGCTAAATTTTTAAATACTTTAGCAAATTTCTTTTCATATACCAATAATTTAAATACAAATATTTTATCGTTGGTTCCGAAACATAACATTTGAGGATATATTCTATACACATATATACGTATATAACTTTGTTCCTACATATAAGACTCCGTTTTAATGGTGAAGGAGGATGTGTTACATCGGCGATGTTTGTACCACCGAGAACGTAAAGTCCAAGTTCTAGCGAATTGAAAAGAGTCGGCAAAGTGCGAACATGTGAAATAATGAAGGAACGAAATGTACAAGTTAGTTTATACTCGAATCAATTCTAAACTACGCGGCTCAACGTCTCGGCGCACATTTAGAGTTGTACGCGGTGATCGTGGTTTGATTTTCTCATCCCGTGAACGTTAAATAAAATCTCAGGATCAAACAATCGCGACAGATCAGAATACGTAAAACCTTGCCTAATTCGCTCGCACGAAGGCACGACTTCTGCCTACTTGAAACAATTCGATCTCTTCCCGATTATTCCTAAGGATATTCACCGAATTGTGAATAACGTTTATAATAAGACGTTATAGCATAGAAGCAAGATGGTACAATGGGATTGTAACGTTAAATTAATTTCCATTTTCGCGTCACGTTGAACGTGCTACGCAACGACACGTGTATACATACACGTATTGTATAATACACACGTACGTCTACACGCAATTACACACAACACACGCGATGTGAGTGTATGGCTGTCTCTGTGTGTATGTACGCGACACGTAAGTATCTCTATGTGTGATGGGCGTTCGCCACGTTCATGTCAATAAAATCCACGTTGTAACAAGCCATTAGAAATGCCGCCACGACAAACAAATCGACGAATACGAACGTGCAATATGAAAATGTAATTTAAGAACTCGCCGTGTGTTATTTTTTGGTAAAATGTGCGAAATTGACTGTTTGTTCATGGAAATCTGTAAACATCGTATATTATTATGAGTTTTATTGAACTCTATAAAATATTGTCAAGACGAATCGATTATGATTTACAGATTGGATTTCAGCAAAGGTATATATAATTTCACGGAAATTACGAATAAATTATTTTTCATTTTAGTTCTTTTTTATTTTTTCAATTTTGTTAAAAAACTCTTTATTATTATACTCGAGATTTTATTTATTATTATGACATTTTGCACAATAGTGCTTATCTATATATCTCTGTATTAATATTTATTTATACGGAGTATTTGTTCTGAAATTGCCATATAATATGTTAGGGTTTTTACAGTGAATGTAAAATCAATCTATAGCAAAATTTGTTAATCAAACAAAAAAGTTTCGATTTAAAAATAATAAATATCAAGTTAATGTAATAATAAATCCAAATATTTTTTGTGCAAGTAATATTACTCGCACAATATTTGGATTTATTATTACATTAATTTAAAATATTCAATTTTTTTAATCGAAAATATTTCTCTTTTATACAAAATATTGAATATTGATTTAATGTTGTAATAAATTCAAATATTTTAAATATTTAGATATACTATTATATTAATTTAATATTTAATATTATTTAATCAAAAACATTTCTTTGATTAACAAATTGCTAAGATCGATTTCAAATTTGTCGCAAAGCCTTCAAAATATTATGACAATTTCAGAAAATTAAATTTCACGTAAATATGCCAAAGGATTTCACTTTAAACAAAATTTTAATTATAAATGAAATTATTTCACGAACTTACAAGAAATTTAATTTTCCAATATACTCCTACTTATATAATAATTACATAAAATTTAAATTTTATACGATTTGCTCTGAGTTATTATTCGAACAGTTCATTTCCAAGATTTTCCGTGATTTTTTTTCTCGTATTTTACGAGAGATATGTATACTTACGCATCTATCGTGACTGCTTTTTGACGACCGCCGTATTCGATATATATTGCAGTGTCACTTTGCGAAAGTCTATCGCCGCTGCGCCGCCGCCATTTGCATTACCGCATATCCGATTTACGCGACTTAGATCGATCCGGATCGATCTTAACTTAACATTCAAAGTTAGCAAAAAGGAACTTTGCGAGACTCACAATGAACGTCTGTCGATCAGACTCGCTGCTCAACGTAATTAGGGCTCCTGGGGGATACGGTTGTGCGTCGTTTACATAGTCAGTCGAGGAAAACGGCGGTCTCAAAATGCAACTGCGAAACGTCTAGATGTACATGTAAAAATATACGCTCAGATTACTAGCGCCGACAGTCTTGGATAATCGCTGAATTTACTTACCGAGAGGATTGCTGAATGGATGACGGTTTGCGAAAACGGATTCGCGATGATTCCCGTTCGTATTCGCCGAAGGCGCGAAACTGCGCCCGATCGGCAGAAAAAAAAGCCGCGGCACGACCGCGCGCTATTTTTTAAAACTGTGTGATAAGCGACTTGTCATTAGACGAAGCGCGATGTGAGTTTACGTAATATTGCTACGTTGTTGTAAATAATAAATAGATTGTACGTTGCATATATTACGTGCCTCGTGTACATTTATTCCCTTATCATAAATATCTTATAAACACATGCTTGTGTTAACAAAATTAATTTACTCAGGAGTTGATGCTATTATATATTTAAGACCGTCTTAAGTATAATCTTAAGATATCTCAACGCGATTTACGTTAAATCTATGATTTTGAAAAAAATTTTAATAGCAACTTATAATATTTAAAAAATACAGATTTATTGTTTTTTAACATTCGGCGAAAAAATATTGGATATATATATATATAATTATATAAAACTATATATAATTTTATATACAGGGTGTTTGGCGACTACCGCATTTTTTGTCATACGTGGGTAGAACAGCCTATACTGAATCAAAAAGTCCTGTACCATTTT